TATAAAATCTTTAATTTACTCATTTGTCTGTCACAAAATCTCTAAATTTGTACTATTATAATGCTACAGACAAAATCTATCATGAGTACTATTGCATTTACTCCTTTTTTGAAACTGCAATTATTATATTTGCTGAGCTCAATGCCAGTGAGAGAAACAATTCGAACATAAAATTCAAACGCATAAGAAATAAATAAAAAGAGAAATTTACATACCTAGCACACTATTCTTACTCATAATTCTTACTCATATACATATCTCACACTTAAATGTCATATTTACATACTTTTTGGTGCTTTAAACCTATGCATGACAAGGTGTATTTCGTTTTTAAAAAGTAATAGCAGTGCAACTTTTGTGTGATATAAAGATTTTAGTGTTATATGCATAAATATAAAATTTTAGCTGTGTGATATGTAAATACATTAGAATTGTGTTCTGCATGTAAATTCCCTTATAAAAAATATACATGCTGATCTGTGCCTATTATAAATAACTAGCTTAGTTGAATGGTAATATTACGACAATACATGTTTTGATATGCTTTAATAAAATAAGCATTATTATAAGCACTAAGTGAAATAGTTTGTTAGTATTAAATAAGGCTACTAAGCGTCAAAATTTTGATTTCATTTTGCTAGACCATTTTTTATATGAATATTGAAATTATTTTTTTTCTTTTACTACTTTAATGCTCATCAATTGAGAAATGTCATGTAATATTTGTACAAGTTTTTAGACATTTAAATTATTGAATTTATTTGTATAAGTTTTTAGACAACTTTAGTAATCATTGATAAAGTTTGGTCTTCAACTCAACACTGCAATTGCATTGTGTCAAGGAGTTGATTCGTCAACTCAACTTTAATGAGATCGCCACTATTTTCAGGAACAAAAGGATCGGTGAAAGTTGAAAACATGTTGATGAGGGTTGAGAAAAATATAGACAGTATGACATGTCCTCCAGTGAGGAGAGTTATTCTTGCTACATTTGACTTTGAGAAAGAAGTTGAGAGTTGGTGCGAGGGTAATTATAGGAGAAATTTGGTGGTTAAAGTGGTCACTTTGTATGGTGGGAGAAGTTTAGGAGAATTTTCATAAATTGGTTTGTACCATTGTCAGCCAAGAGACAGATGCAAGATAATGTATTAAGTTGGTTTAGGGAGATCGATCAATCATGCAATATGTAGATGTTAAATGCTCCACAGATTATTATGCTCTCAAGTTATGCACAACTTATTTCGAATGCAGCTTTTTCCAAATGTAGAGCAGAAATGCCACATGGTTCTTTCTAGATTGAAGGATTCAGTCAGCCAATTATTAGTGCTACTTGGGATTGAAGACAATTCAGTGCCAGTAGAGAGAGCTAAGTCGATGAAAAATGATTTTCTATTAACGGGAGCAAAGGACTTGCTTAAGAGGAAGAACTTGGATTATGTGACATCAATGGTTCATTCTGAATGATCTAAATGTGAAGAAAATAAAATCTTATGAGGATGGGGTTAATAGGGCTGCATAAACGCTACAGGCCCTATGTTCCCTATGTTAAGTGTGAAAAACTACACCATGTTGAGTGCTTGTTTGGTTTTGAAGTATGTAATTTATGCTGGCAATCTAGACACAGATGCCAAAGATCCATATCAAATGGTAACTCAAGAAGGGATTCACTAACTCAAGAAGGGATTCGACTCAAAAAAATCTTCACGAGGGTTCTATTTTTAAAAATGGTCAACAAAGGATGACAAAAGTTGGTATAGTGGCTCATAAAGAGAGACCAATTCATAACATTTGACCAAGTGTCTATTCCTTGTTAGGAGCCTTAAAAACTTATTGATACTGATTTAGATGCTATTAGAGTTTGAGGAGTGATTTTTCAAATGGATGCTATGTTAGTTATCTTGTGTTGAGTATCCTTATGTACTTTTATTTTAGAAGTCGAGTGTTGTGTTAGTTATGTTACCTTTTTTAGGATGTGGTGTTATTTTAGTTATCATGTTTCAGATGTTTGAGAATTGTTTAGTTGGAGCATCTTATATTAAATGCTCAATTTATCATCTCCGTTTTATGTTATCACTTAGCAATAATCAAATTTCTTCGAAGATTTTTTGTTAGATCATGCTTCATCTGCATAATAATTAAATTGCCTGAAATTCATAATTTTTAGGATGAAATTTTATATGGAGGGGAGATTCTAATCACCAAAATGATAATAATAATAATAATAATAATAATAATAACTAAAAAAAAGAAATTTGAAATTTTTATTGTTAGTTCGAACATAACTTTTGAGGTAGTTTCTATTTAGGAGACAAACGTCTGATTTGGGTCGAATCATACAAGGAAATGAGATAGAACGAGAGTCAAAGAGGAAGAAACAAGGAGACACAAAACATAACCACTTTTTAGAGAAGGAAGAAGACTTGTGTGTGTAATCCTAGTGGCGACACTGCTTAGATGGAAGGCGACAATCGACTTCAAGGCGTGGAATAAGGAGAAGATATGTTGAAATCGGAGTTGAGCAAGGAAAAGGCCGAATGCATGCGCCTGAGAAGAAGGGAATGATGTAGTGGGAGCCTTGTGTGCAGTAAGATTCGAAGAAGAAGAAATAAAGAGGCACAAACCCTAGTCACATTTCAAAGAAGGAAGGAGACTTAGACTTATGTGCAATCCTAGTGGCGACATTGTTGAGTTGGAAGGGGACAATCAGCTTCCAAGGCATGGGAGAAGGAAGGAGAAGACATGTGTGATGTTGGAGTCAAGCAAGGGAAAGGCCGATTGCGCTCGCTTGAGAAGAAGGGGATGACACAGTGGGAGCCTTGTTTGCGGTAAGAGACTCGACATTCTATGCAAAGGAGTTGTGGCTTTGGGCAAGGAGAGGGAAGTTGTGCCTTAGCCAAGTGAAGGAAGAAAGAGGAAGGGAAGAAAACAAAAGGAAGCCCTTGTGAGTCCTGCATGTCAGCATAGGAAGTGTAAGAAGGAAAGATAGGTAGAAGTTTCGTGCATGAAAAACTGAATTGTGTTGAGCAACTCTAGCTTGCTGGTTTTGCTCTTGTGTGGGAGTTGGATGTCGAACCGAGCTAGTAAGCCAAGGTATGATTACTATAAGTTTATTTTCATATTATTTAATTTAAGTTAATCTTATTAGTATTAATATTAATTTATATTAATTTATAATAGAAATATTAAGTTGAAGAGCTTTTGCTTCTTATGTTTTGGAAAAAAGAATTGTTGGCTTTAAAAGGAGAGATGTTTTTGGATTATAGTTTGGTGTTTTAGTATATAAAGTTGCTTTTGAAATGTTAATAAGTTAATATTAATATTTATTAAATAAAAAACAATGATTAAGATTGTGTGAGCAATCAAATTAAAGGACAGGGGAATCTGGTGAGTATGAGGTGAGTAATTATTTTTGTAAACTTTAGTAATATTTCTTTTATTTACAAATGTATTCCTGATTATTTTCCTATAAAGTTATTAGGTTATTACATAACATTCATATTCTAGTAGAGGTGCATATATTAGAATATAACATGACCTTTAGATTCTAGTAGAGTGCATATACTAGATTATTTCATAACCTTTAGATTATAGTATTGGTGTATATATTAGATTATTGCATGCCCTTCAGATTACAATGAATGTGAATTTATTCATTAGTAAATAAATGCAAAGTGTCGTCAAAAAAATCATAATGTATGCTATGAGGTATGAAATATACATGTTTAGAGGAGTTTACCCTCTTATTGTAATGGCTAGGGATGCCAATCTACCCACATACTTTGATATTTTTTTAACACCTCAAACAATTGTAAAATTTAGATTATTGACTGTTGTACTGACGGGAGAGTATCCACTAGGGGTGAGCATTTCAAATAATTTTGAATTTTAGAGCACTAACCGTTGTGCCGACGGAAGAGTATCAATTAGTAGTGAGTAGACATCTTTCTACCTCAGAGAATTGTATAATTTAGATTACGAACCGCTATGCCAACGGGATGATGTCGTATAGGGGTGTGTTAGATATGTTTTGACGGTGTTCTTGAACGGATATGAAAATTAAGAGTGAACTATTTTAAGAATTAAAAGGTTACCTCTTGAAAATTGAAGTAAAAGTTAATGCATATATAATTCTTGATTATTTTCATTGAGCATATCGAGACTTTTATTGTTAGTTTATTTTGATTGAGGTGCATAAAGGAGGTCGTCTTAGATGAGCAAATTAGTGTTATTTTTCAGGGACTTTTTCGATATTCCGAGAATAGAAAGCAGATTTTATTTTACTGGGCGCAGCCTAATGTTGAAAGTGCAGAGGATAGTTCTGATCTCCTTTCGGCAGGTCAGTTACAAAAAATTATGAAAGAGGTTTCTGAGAAATCCCATGCCACATGCATTTTTGTTATCTCTGCTGTCACTAATATCCCAAGATTCAGTTAGGTGGCTTTACTTGTCTTGTACTATTGCCAAGCCAATTGTATTTTTTTCTTATTATTTGAGGAATCCCAAACTATGAAATACAAACTAGGTTTGCAGCTATCGATCTATTTCCGAGTGATCATTTCCTCTGGACCATCAAAAGCTGCATTGTACTTGACTTTTGATGAAAGTCACTAGGACATTGAAATTTTTAGGGCCAATTGCTGGTTAATACATTTTTTGTTTAAAAAAATGAAAGCTAAACATTTTAATTTTAATCTATTATGGTGATATTGATTGATCAGTGGTGTGTGTTTTCTTCCTAGCTTTCCATACTCAACTTCTTTTGTTCATGTAGCCATGGTTTTTACATATAGGTTTCTCCTCTTTTTATGGGTATCACAAGTTGTGCCATAATTTGGCCTATGAATTTGTAAGTTGGAAGATTGTTGTGTTTTATTGAGGTTGTCTTTTTAATGATTTTTGAATAGTTATAAAAGTCCCATCTTTTTTAAAGCTTGTCACATTCTTTTAACTGAAGTTTATTAAGTTTGCATGTTCAGTGACACAAGGATTTTATGTGACAGAGATGCAGCTGCATTAGCAGAATTTTGGGCTTGGCTGGAAGATGGAGTTCAAAAGAATTTGAATCTTACAGAAGTGGAAGTTTCCCAAAAACTACTTGAGTTTCGTAGAAAGCAGTTTGGCTTTATTGGCACCAGCTTTGAGACTATTACCGGTATATTCTCTGGAAATAGTTTTCTTGATTAGAAAAATCTATTGCGCTCAAATTATTGGAAACAATTCATACTCTATTTGCTAGTTTCATCCTTAAAAATATCTATTAAGATTCTTCCATTTAATAATTGACAATCAAATATATTAAATTAACAAGATTGCTTATGAGTGAATTGCATTGCACAGCCTCTCATTATGAAAGATAATCCTGGTGGTGGTGGGATGGGAATTGGTTTGGCTTAATAAAAAGTATTGGGAAATTTAAGAAAAACTTGCCAATTCATCCTAATAAAAAAATTGTAGGTTGCAAGAGCACTGATTGAACAATGCAAAATGAATTTGTATTAAATGGATTGGCACAAATCCTATTTATTTGTCATGGCATTCCTCCGTCCTTTGCTTCACAAGTCACTGTCAAAGAGGCATGCACAAAACTCCTTCCTTTTCCTATACTTTGCAAAGAGAATTCCTACTACATTGGCTATAGAAAAGGAAACCTCTCTTAATCCTCCCCAGGGAATGGCAGTACAAGCAAGTTGAATGAATGATCACTGAATCATTACCGTTAATGGTAAGAAGGTGATGACAAATAAGTGAAAGATTTCCTAGTGACTAGGAGAAAGCTTTGTCTTAAGAAAGACTGAATTGGGACTCTACATCTCCTGAAAAGAATTGTAAATGATGCTCTTGTCATTGGTTATTCAACATCGTATTGGGTTTTGCCTTTATAGGCAAAGAGGTTGCTTAAATGTGGCAAAAAATGTTCTTATATTCAACTCTAATCGGAAACAATTTCCCAATAGAACAGCAAAACTAGCTATTTTTGACAGGTTGTGGAGTTGTGGAAATACTAAAGGTGCAGCTGTAATTTATTATATCTAAATTTGAGGTTACGAAACTTAGACTTGTGGTGTTTCTCATCTCTGGATAGAACTAGCCATTGCTCCATGTTACTTATTGTATATCACATGGTCATGCATGGCCTACATTGTTCTTTATCTTGAATTCAAGTTGGTTGGTTGAAGTGGAGGAATGCTTCGAGTCTTTTGTGTGATAGAAAAGTGCCGCCTAGACTGAAAGGAAAGTTTTATAAGACGGTGGTGAGACCTGCAATCCTCTATGGCGTTGAATGTTGGCCTTTAAAAGAGAAGCATAATATTAAGTTGAGTGTTGTCGAGATGAGAATGATTAGGCGACTGAGTGGCTTTACACTTAGAGACAATGCGAAATGAATATATCCGTGCGTGATAGGGTGTGATAGGGTTGGTGTAGCTCCTGTGTCAGACAAAATTAGAGAAAGTCGTCTTAGATGGTTTGGTCACATTAAGCGTCGACCATTTGATGATCTGATTAGGAGAGTAAATGTTTTAGATACAACTTATGTTAAGAAAGACAGAGGTAGAACTAGGAATACTTGGGCTTATTTTATAAAAAATGATCTTAGTTTATTAGAACTAAATGAAAATATGACACTAAATAAGGACGCAATGGAGGAAAAAGGATTCATGTGGCTGACCCCACGTAGTGGGATTAAGGCTTTGTTTTTGTTGCTATTGGTGTTCCTTCACTATCGTCAATTCTTTGTCATTCCAATCCAAAAAGGCTTTCTTTTGTGCTTCCTAACTTTAATTAACATGATCTCATACCAATACTTTAAATGCAATTCAATTCAATATATAGAGATATTTCAATAAACAAAGTCTAAACTGATCTTTCTATGACTCTTCCGACTAATTGATTCAATTCTTCATTCTCTTTAATTTGATCGATTGACAAGTCCTAATAACTAGTTTTAATTCATAAAATTTTAATATTTATTTAATAAGTTTTAAATAAATAAATAACAAAACTCTATTTTTATGATTTTCATCATTGGCTCTGTTTGATTGTTGCTTGCAGAAGTGGCACATGTGATGTTGATTACAGAAGGAAGGAAAAGAATGTCCCAAATAACATTAACAATGGTTTCACACATACCAATTTCTTCCTACTTGAAATCGTGGCCTTCGGCTACCCGCGGGTCGCCATTTTGCTACAGTGCCGTGATAACAGCTCTTTCAGGGAGCCTTTTACCGAGCACGATCAAACAGAGAGAGGGGGAGGAAGAAATGCGAAGTTCTTGAATGGAGGATCTCACCCTTTCGATGTCATACATAGTTTATAGAGCGTGGTAAGTCGGTTGTGAATAGTGAGCAGATTAGGGAGAAATAATTAATGTTTTATTATGTTTAATTAAACTTATAACTTCCAATCTTTAAATTTTACAATTTATTCATAATTTATGTACAATATTATATATCTAATTGATCAATTTGACGCGCAGAATTTTATAAAATTAATTCGGTTGAAATTTGAGGGATATGAAATTTGGGGTATATTTTTAGTTGTAAAAAAAATTATTGCCTGATTTCTTAAAAATGGATTATTACAGTCTCCCAACCTTATAAAATTTCGTCCTCGAAATTCATGAATTCCACATCAACTATATAAATTATGAGGATGAAACAAAAAGTGATTATAAAAGTTTGTTTCTTCTCAAATGATAACTAAAATATATCAAACTCTATGCATCAACATCAATAACAACATGCTCTTTTAATTTTTGACGAGTTAAGAGGTAAACACTTGGGTGAATGTTTTGCCTTGGTTGCTCCTTACGAGCCATAATAACAACTTCTATTATCCTCTGCTGACAATTTCTAGAAGGAGATTCTTTTTGAAAACTCCTCTGAGTTGAATTCCTTTCCGGGTTAGCATCTGTTGTGGATCTCTGAACAGAATTAGGACAATTTCTCCTCTGATGTTCAGGCTGTCTATATAAGTAACACGCCTTCAACCCAAATAAATATTCTCCACGTGTCGTTTTTCCACACTTAGCACATAGCTCTATTGTGATGCTGCCAGCCTGCTAATAACTCCACTAGGGCGGGACTTTATCTTCTTCTCATTAAACTCTCATTCTCTTCAATGAACTGTTGGTGTCATTTCTTCCAAACCCTTCCTCTTGTGCAAATCTCTATGCTTTATGAGTTTGCTATAAATCAATCTCCACCCGCTTAGTCCTCTCTACTAGCATTGAATAGTATTCAATCACAAGTGGCACCAGTGACCGCCTGATTGAATCTTCCAGTCCATAAAGAAATCTGTGGCATCTCCTCTGCATTTGGAATGAGTTATGCATATGTTGATAGCATAGCGAACTTCGCTTCGTACTGCATAACTGATCATTTTTCTTGCACTAACCTAATGAATTTATCTTGCATTTGTCTCCTGGATGACAGTTGTACAAGTCAAACTCTAAAAGTTCTTATAAACTTTTGAACTTCTTTTGTATCTGATCTTGCCACCATCTTTCATCTTCCCCCTAAAAAACAAATGTGACAAGGATAATTCTTCTCTCTGGTGGACATGACAACTCATTAATAATATTCTCTACTCTCAATAGCCAATTTTCAGCTTCTATTGGCCCTCCCTGCTTCAGAAAACAAAGGTGGTCTCATATACTAAAAGAGCTTCAATTACTTATTTATTGGTGCTCCTCCTTTGCTACTAGTTTGAGATTGAGAATTCTTAATCAACAAAGTCACAACATTTATCATATGAGAAAGTGTACCAACATTGACTGTGACATTCCATGGTACATTAAATTCAACATTATCATTCATGATCTCTTCCTCACGAACGTTCATAATTCTGAAATAGCAACAATATAATTTAATTAAACTCGATTAAAATTTTTAATTTCTATTATTTATAACTTAATTCAATTATTTTTCTGGCTCTTTCATTAAGATTCATTTTAAATCTCTTATTTTGATATTACTTTTGTCACAACCTGACCTGAACTTGGAATTAATCAAGACGGGAACATATGTTCAGACGATGTAAATCAATTCTTTAGTATTTTATTTCTATTACTAATAGTTTAATATTGAAATATTTATGAAAGTGCCACTAAAAAAATGTAATATAATTAGCAAGTAGAAATTTGTACCATTTTGGTTGCTGTTTTTACCTCCTATACACATTTGATCCTCTTCTATTCATCTTACTTAAAACCATAAAACCTAAAATAAGTATTAAAATAGTATAACGAGTTATCTAAAGATAACTTAGGATTAATCCCACTTCTAAATTACAGTAATCCAATAAAAAGAAATCAATACGTATGATGTTCTTTCATATTTTGTAAAAAGTTTTATAATATGTTATTCTTTCATATTTCTATAAGAAATTTTTGAATATATTAATTCATGTATCACTCAATGAAAATACCTACATCTTCTATATGAATTTATTTTAATTTTATATTTACTTTATATTCTTTATATACACATTTGTTTCTTTGAGGATCACCTTCAAAATAACCTAATACACCTTGACCAATGTTATTCGTCAGTACAATGATTAGCGATATAAAAAATAATAATTGTCTTGGGTGAAAAAACCCTTACGACCTTACTTGCTCTTAGCGATATTTTTTCTTCGACATAAATGTTAGCGATCTAAACATCACAATTATCTGGGGTGATAGAAAAACCCTTACGCATTCAGGTACATTGACGTCCTATCGACACTATTTTGGTTGGAGAGTTGCCCGTAAGAAACTGTCGGTCATCTGAATCGAAGTCCCGTTGCACGCTTCGGAAGGATGTTTTAATTTACATATAGTCTTAAGTTTAGAAAAATATGAAATCAAACTGACCCCATATTTTTCATCCCCATATTTTTCACTGACCCCATATTTTTCATAGTTTAAATGAAAAAGCGCTGTACCTCAAACCCTGTATCTGTCCCGAAGGATAAACACAAGGCTTGAGGATGAAACTCGATTAGATAAACTAGGAAATAAATGACGTCCGTTTGGTCTGCGAAACCGTTTTATTTGCCGACAAGTTCTCCTATTTAATATGAGTAATTAAATAGGGTTTATATTAAGTTGGTTCGGAAAAGATTCCTATAAGGATAAACTCCTATAGTTAATTACATCTTAAATGAATG